CTCCACCTGCTATCTACTGAGCTCTGCCCTGTTAAGCCCCTATGCTCTTTCCCACAACTGAGGTCCAGATTGAAGTGCAGTGAATGAGATAGGTGCCCTGAAGGGCACAGGCTGCAGAAGACAGGGCAAGAGCCACCTCATATCATGTACCAGGAGGATGGGTTTTCTTTAACACCTTCAAAGATTCAAAGAAAAATACCCGAGCTGTGCACCAGGGCCTCCTTCAGAGCTGTTTTCTTCCAGCATCTTGAGGTTTGTGCTGTCCTTATCTGCCAAAAGCCAGTCATACATAGTTTGTGCGTTTTAACTGCAGTGTTTTCCATGAGGTCTCTAAGCACCCACTCACACAGAAAGTAGCAGACTGAAATGAATTTGTGTTCTTGTAAAACAGGTGATGCTGGATGTTGCTTTTTACAGGTAGCACAGCAGGTTCTTTTGTTTGTGGCAAAAAGGAGAGCCTTGGTGGACGTGCCTTTCATTTGGCAGAACGGGGCTGAATAAAGCTGATGCTGCATCACAGCTAATATAACAACATAGCTGTGAGTCTTCCCTGAGCGATACGCATTGTCAGTGTTTTTAAAATCCAAAAACCCGCATCCTGTGTCAGTGCACACTTTCCGAAAGTCTCTGCTTGAGGGTTTTCATGGTGTTGCACACAAAATCTGATGGAATTCCAAGAGAGAAGTTCAAACCCTGCACACCTGGGCAGTCACATGCGTTAAGGGGGCATGCTTGTCGGACTGTTGGTTTTGGAAAGTCACCACAATTGCCTCTTCAACAGTGCTGCTACTAATAAAGTTTATCATTTGTGTCTTTCATGCAGCGCAACAAGAGCTACAAGATTCTAGGTTCATTTTAGATAAATGTTCCATCTTTCTATGCATCGATTTTTGTCTTTTTTTCGGGCAGAAACTGAGCCGTAAGTGTGACTTATCATTTTGTCAGCTTAACAAAAAAAATAACTATAATCACAATTTTTTGTAAAGGTAACTGAAAATATTAAGAACAAAAATTAAGGCAAAAAATAAAAAATTTAGCAGCATGTTTTTCTGTCTTTGTCAATGAAATTCTTCAGGGTCCAGGGTTGTTTGCTGTTCTTTTATTTCATTATTGATTATTTTATTTTTTCTATAATTTTTTTCTTTTTACTGTATTAAAACTGGCATTATTGTACTGAGTGTGCAGAAAGGCACTTGAACTTAAATTATCATTAATATCAGATTCTTGAATGTCACGTGGTATCTTTTGTTACATGAAACAGTTACTGCACTGAGTGAAATAAAAACTGTACAGTTTTAACAAATGTCTTCGCTCCACATGAAGCAAACTACCTAAATAGATTCAATAAGAGATTCAAATTCAATAAACAGGTTTGGAACTGGATTCAATAAAATGATGTCAAACCTCATCCCTATCTATGAATCCTTTTTATCTTTTTTACCAGGGGCTCTAAGGCTGCATGCCTCAGATACGACTGTGGACTGGACAGCAGTGGAAATAATGAGTCCAGATAACATGCTCGTTGCACTCATGAGAGTCTACAGTTAATTGAAGCCACATTTGTATTTTGGAGGAACATGTTGATCCACAAACACTTTGGAAGGTCAGAGAGTGCATTGTGGGCTTTTTCAGGTTTACAAAGAGCCAGCACAGCACAGCCAAGGTGCAGTCTTCAGGGTTCGTCTGTTAGGGTTGATGCGGAGAAACATAGGACAATTTATTATTTGACATCCACTGGGGTAACTTACTGATTAATGATTTCAGGAAAGTTTTGCACTTTATCAAGCAGCTAAAAGTGATTAAACTTGATCAGTTGAATAAACCAAGGGAACAACAAACTGCCAGAAAGAATGACTTTGATGAAAAATAGTGAAATCGCCAGAGCAGGATGTAACCTGGCAAGCCAGGTTTCTCTACTTAACAACAAAACCTACATCCATTACATACAGTACCCCTACACAGCAGATGGTTGACCTTTGCCCTTTGTGTTATCTCTGAAAGCCGCTACCACGGTGAGATCCTGTCTGAACTGGTTTAAACTGTTCTAATTTTGCCTGAGGCTCAGGTTGATGCTTCGGTCACTAACCTTCTCCAAGTGGTGTCCATTTGAAGAAAGCAGAATCTGGAAACACTTGTTCAGAAACTGGACAACTGTGACTTATCTTTTGTTTGCTGTGATCTAAAGTAATATTTGTAGCACACACACAAACAACACCAATTGCCTACAACCATGCTAGCGGCTCTGTCACGCTGTCTTTAGAAACTATACACTAGGTATACCACAAGTCTCCTTTAAGCATCAAGGTTTCCCTCACTTGTGTATTTTCCTTGCGTCTCAGTCCCACCTATTTAAGATGTGAGGATAAAGTGCAAGGAAACACATTATTAACATTATAACCAAAGTTCTTTTCTTCCATCTGAAGCATATCTGAAGCGTCCAATCACAAACTGATTTCTGATAAAAGACCGTGTTGGCACACAAAAGACTTCGTGAAACACATCTTCCTTTATGCCTGCTCATGGCTGCTGCAGCAGTCTCCTCACTCCTTCATCCTTATACCGATATAAGTCTTGTAACATCCTTGATTGAGGAGTGAGGAATGATCATATAAGAAGAGACTTGAGATGTATCCACAATATATAATGATGAACAACATGTCAACAATTCCCGGCACTATGCAAAGCTGAAGCTAAAATACTACAAATACAAGGGCAGCCATCTTGCTTTTGTGATGCAATTTGCAACCAGATTCTCTGCAGGCCACCAATTAAAGCTGTCAGCCATCCAAAATACACTGCTTTTTATATGACCAATTGACTTATTAAAAACAAACTTGTTAAACAAATGACCACACACACAAATGAGTGTGGTAATAACTAAAATGACAGATTTCACCTTTGGGAAAAAAGTATTCTCTTCAAGTAGATCTTAATCACACTGATCTGTGTACAAGTGGTTGTTTTGATAAGGTGTTTTTAATAACTCATTTGATGACAGTGTTGATTGGTGGTCTGATACAGCAGCTTTGTTACTGCACAAAATCTGGCAGTAGTCAGTTTCCAGGGCCCAAAATAAATACAATCATTTAAGCCAATGGAGAGTGACCAAAGTGTGTTTTATTATTCATCAGTGACCATGTGAACTGTAAACTATGACTGGTTGGCATCAGCAGCCACGTGAAAGCCAAACCACATTATGACCCCCTACTAGCCATACATTGTTGGCCTCTCATCAAAATGTATTATTGTACTCGCCTCTTGCTCCTGTGAACTATTATCAGTGACATAAGAGAATTTTATAGAAATAAAAATCTATTAAATGAGGAGGCTGTAAATGATCTTATGTCAAAGAACAAATTCCCATTTTAAAACAACACCTACATGCTCTCATGTACGCTGGAAGAGAAGGTGATTTGACTAAGGAAGTGTATAATACATATACTCCTGAGTCTTGGGAGTTAACGCTAACCGCTAACAGTATCCACCAGCCCCTATTCCAGTGACTGTAAAATTAAGTAATTCAGAGCAGAGACACGTTTTAATCCTGTTTGTGGGAGAAATCATCTGTTACATTAGCTTTGTTTATGCTAATGCTAGCCACTTCCTCTCGTTTCCTGCACTTTTTCTTCCTCCGACCTGGTTTCTTTATAAATATCTCCCAGTGGATATTTGCTGGAACACATTAATTATGTCTAGTTGCCACATTTTTATTTACTTCAGTTCCATACTGGAATATTTCTAAACCTCTACCAAGGAGCAAATTATTTGACTCCACCCCTCTGGGGATTTAACAGCGAACATATAGTGCACACAAACTTGTTAAAACAAATGTCAAAGGTCAACCCTGCCCACAATGCTATTCAAGGCTTTTAATTTGCTATATTATAAAAGTGATATCTCTATAGAAAAGAAGTAATAAAAAAATAAAAAGAGAGAAAAGTGCCCTTATTGGGTTTGGTAGACCTGTGCCTTGGCTAAGTGAAATAAAGCAATTAAAATGTGTAAACAGCTAATTCTGCTTCCAGGATTAACAATCTGTTAATCCAGTGGCAGATTATTCCTTACCTAGTACAAACTATTGCAGTCTGATACATAAAGGTGGTAATGTTTAGTTTTTTTCTGAACCTGTATGATCATTTTGGAAGATTTGGTGTGTTGTTCTGTTGAATTGTATAGCATTACAACGACTACTGTTTCTAATATGTCATCCACCCTATTTATATCAGAGGCTTGGTTGTCTCTCATCATGGCCACTCCTTCATAAATCCATATGGGCATGTGAGTGTTGTTTAAGACACAAACCTATCCTTTAATCAAAGCAGAAGAAAAAGCTTGTAGACCGAGGACACCTGCAGCACAGACAAATGGACTCTATGCTCTGTCCTTGGACGTTTGTGAATGACCAGACATTAACCATGAAAATCTGCTGTGCCTGTCCAAACCATCTTCTCTTTTATCTTGTGAACTCATCAGTGTCCCTCCTATGGACTGACGCTTACTTACTGAGCTCTCTTCTTCTGCAGACCCTGTCTGTCACACCCTGGGGAATTAGCTGTGGAGGGAGGACTCATGGCCAACACATGAGTTACAGCCACAAAAGAAGAGATAAAAGTTTAATGCAAATATATGTTCTTTTGTGTAATCACTATCTTCTCATCAAATTACACGAGGAAATAAGTACAGAAAGGGGAGAGATTACAATAATCCCTATCATAAAAGAAGGGTTAGTTGAATTTCTAAAAGATGGACGGGATTAGTTGCTTGTATTTAGCCCTTACCTACAAAGGCAGAGGGAGACAGTGGTTGTAGAATAGCATGATAATACTATTATCATCCCACCTCATCCCTGGCATTCACATGACCAGCAGTAAAGTGTGGCGTTTCCTGGATGGAGTTGGGCACAGTGACACCGTAACCCTAACCCAAATAAAGATGATTATGATTATTAAAAATTCTCCTGGTGGTGTTGGAGAGGAACCGCATTGTCTCGTCCTTCTCTCTGGTCCCTCTTTTAAACATGTGCTACTGATTTATGTGGCAAGAGAAACGTCTTTATAAAAAGCAGATTTATGTGAGCAGACAGAGCATTTCTGTGCACAAAAAGAAATATCTGAAGATTAATGGAGAGGCCTCTCTTAAAAACTACCCATGAGCCCATATGGGGCGTACATTAAAACAGTTTTTGATGTTGGAGTTGTTCTTCAGGACAAGGCACACAATAGAGCGAAAGCACAAACATTAAGGGAACTGTGTACCAAAAACAAAATGCCAAATTTAAGACACCTGCTTCACCTTGTAATAATTTCAATAATGGCAAAAGATATGAGGGTAACCATGATGTACAATCAAGTCCGTTTTAAATTTGCCTAAATGCTTATTTTTATTACTAATTATATGGCCACTGAAGAACAAAAGTTTTAGGTTAAATGCCCTTAAATTTTGTTGCATTCTCCGAGTTAAATCATAAAAAACACAAGTTGTGTTTTAGCAAAGAATTAGTGGCAGATTCCATTTGACAAACCTTTTTGCTCATTATGTTGTATTTGTGGTGCTGTAAGTCCATACGAGCTTGGCACTCGTGTATTTATTACACCGTAAATACTAACACCTGTCATTTGGTGCAAAATGATGATGATGATAATGCACAAATGTTAGATATCTCAACTGTCATTGTCAATAAAAACTGAACATTATGAAGTCTGTAAAGGTATTATTACAAGGCTGTTATATTAGACAGCATTAGATTGTGCTGGTGTACTTAATAAACTGGCAACTGAGTGGTACATTTATTTAAAATTACAAGTCAAATCATTAAAGCTTCTTAACAAATGTAATTTAACTTTCTGGCAAACACTCACATTAAAGTACATGGAGATCTACACAACATACACAGAAAAAGAAGGATGTAAACAGGCAAAAAAGTTAAAATTGAACACAATCACATCATGACCTTGATCGTTACTGCAACCACAGTCTTAATCCTGATGGCTGAATGGATGGATAGATGCGCTATCCTGGCGAAGAAGCCTTGCCATCACAGATGAGAGGGATTCACCCCACATCAGCGTCGTCATTCCAGATGTTCAAGTCAGGAGACTGTTGTGGTGGAGAAGTGTCAGGAAGCCGTGTGACCAGGTCTTCAATCACACGACCTGGACAGGAGCTGACCTTGGACCTCATCTCTTTGCCTTCTTTTCCTTCATGATCTTCTTGCTCTCCTCTCTCCTTCGCTTATTGACGGGGTTGCGTGGGTCGTAGATTTCAAAAGTGTCCTCATCCTGCATTGTGGCATCCTTGACTTTTCTGGTTTGCTCATCAAACTGCAGAACATGGGCCATCCTAAATCAGATGGAGAGTGATGGAGAGAGTTCAAAGAACAGCAGCAGAGGATCCACTAAATCACCGCCCGTGTGCTTTTACCTCGAAGCTAGTCTCTTCTTGCTTTGAGCACTTTGATTACAGTATTATTGTAAAAAGTATTTAAACCATCTATTATTCTAACTGCAGCTGTTTTCATCTGCCAATCATAAATATATAATAACATTCTTTATATTTCAAAAATGAATAATCATGGAATCAGCTGACATTGAGTGAAATATAAGTCTGTCACGTTGCCAGAGGAGAGTGTTCCACAGGCTTGTGCTAAACGCTAAGTGAAAGCCAGATGATGCATTTAGCTCAGCTCTTCTAATTAAAATGTATCATGAAATATTCAGAACTGTTTCAAGGTCACCTCTGTAACTCCACAGTAAGTCATTACAAACAAATCACCACTTTCTAATTCTAGTGAAGATCCTTGGTACTGTGAAGAAGCAAGACATTAATCCCTTGTAAGTTTGTGACTGATGAGTGATCAGTTCAGGCAGTGACCTCTCTGTGGGTGCCACTGCACTGCCAAACTACGGCTATGGGAAGCTCCAGGTTACGGCTCGTTAAGTTCCTGTGGTGGGAAAACACTAAAGGAGTCAGTCTGGGATCACACGAAGGGACAGAAGATGCTGAGACAGCCTTAAATCCACAGAATAACTGTGGCACCTTCTCCAAGATGCTGGAACAACCGACCTGGAAACACTGTGCAGGTGTGTGAGGAGAACTGGGGCTGGTTCAATAAAACACCAAACTGTGCTTTGTATGATGCTAATTGATTAATAAAAACTATCCATGTCATCATGTTTGAAAGCATCCTCACTTTACTTTCAGTGCCTAAAGTTTTTGCACAGCACTACATCAGCCCCAGCAGATACACTCAGAAAGGCCTGTTCATCATCAACAGGTCTTCCTTATCTGCTGGAGAAAAACATTTATATGAGCTTGTGCTGTATATGTCTGGGTGCGTAGATTGTGCTCATGTGCACCAGTGTGTTTTAAGCCGTCTCCATATCCTCGATCTCTGTCTAGCTTTTGGGTTTGATGCCTCGTCTACTGTGTGCAGCATGTGGTATGTGTCTGCTATTGTCTCTGGCTGACTGCTCAGTTTGGTTGTGTTTGTGCGCTCTGCACTCTCTCCCCGTCTTCATTTGAAATCGGCAGGAGTTGTGACAGCTCATCTAGAATGTCATGGCTAGACTCTGGCAGACCCTGAGGACTCCTGCTGTGTGAGCAGGCCGCCTCTGATAATTTGTCTAGCAGCGTTAGTGATGACAGGCTCCCGGCCACGCAGCCTTGGAGTCATACAGCTCAGAGACGTGATGTGGAAACCCAGCTTATCGAAACCACTCTGTGCTGCCATGATGGGAGGCTACAGAAGCCTTTCCTCTATTTATTTTTCTTGCTCTTTTTTACTCAAATAAAAACAGTACAGGAGGGATGGCGAGAGCAACGGCAGGCTCTTTGCATTGAGTGTGTGTGTGTTAGCAGAGACCAAGAGGAGGAGGAGGGGGACGAAGAGGGAGAGTCTGAATATGTAGACACAGACACAGATGGAATAGTTTACCTCCTCTGGCCCAGACTTGACTTCCAAAGTCTGACCTGTTGTAACCCACATTCTGTTCACGGTGCTCCTAGACTGGCACAGACTTCCCACTGGTGTTTTTCTAGGACTGTTATGCTACTGCCCCTGTCCCTGCCTCCTCACCTTACCTGGCGGGGGCAGCACAGTGAGGTGTCTGCAGCCAGGAGGGGCTCCAAACGCCAGCCAAGGCTTTTCTCAAATTCATTAGGGCCCCCACACACAGACAGAGACTTCAAGGGGGCTTCTTGAGACTAATAGCAACTACAGGTTTTGTTATTCTAAATCTCTCACACACAGACACTTTGCTCAAACACATGGTATTCATTTCAAACTCTCACTCTGTGTAGGTAGACTCTGAGATCTTTGGTGAAAAACAGAATACGAGAGAAAAACACAGCGTCAGCGCTGATTTCCTGATGGCCAATCCTGGTGGCTGTGGGTTCAAATCCCACTGCGACATAAGCATACAACTCACACACATTTATCAGAATCTGAAGCGAGCTTCGGCTTCGACAAAGGTCAGGCTCATCGCTTCCAGTACACGGAGTGATTTTCTGCAGTATCTGACCAGTTTACTGTCTCATTTGTATGGCTATTACTGTTATATTAAAAGGTTCTGTTCACAATCAGCAGAGCCTAGTGAAAAGGGCTTTTTGTGCCAACTTGCTTGAACCTCTCCTTCCACAAAACTGTGTGTTTTCCAGACTGCTTCTTGAACTCTCCAGGAGCAGACAGGACTCTGGTACTCACATGCTGCTGCTAATATCTGCTACAGTCAATAGTGTCAGTGATATAAAGCTTAGCAAGGCTGCTTACACGCGCTTAATAATAAACTAGTCCTTATCTGAGGGACACTAGAGTTGTCATAAAATATCGACATAACCTCCTATTTATTTAGGTTGGTATGAAATTAAAACAACTGCAGATTAATTTAACAACTGGTAATCTTCTAAAAACGGGCAGTGTCAGACAACTGTGCCCATAAATCCTATCTGGTAAGAAGCATCAAAATCTTTTAGGCTAGTTAGGCTACTGAGGTACGGTACAACATGTTCTCCAAACCCGCTCTCTGTCTAATAAGCTAATTATGCAGCTTGATTGTGAATAATAAAGTATTGATTATAGGTGTCTCCAGAAGGTAAATGATTTTGCATGTTTGTCTCTTTCTCCATTGTCCAGGACAGAGTTAGCTCCAGTAAAAACCATGTTTGATTTTCTCAGCCCCAAATTTGTGGCCACAGTCACGCAGGTGTCAGACTTTGTTTTATCAGCTGGCAAATAAATGCAAACAAATGATTCCACAATAACAGATGAAACCGAGGAAGTGAATAAATAAATAAATAAATAGGTATCATGTTCACTGACCATCCTTTGTCGTCATCTTCTGCCAGCTCCTCAACGTCCTCCTCTTCCTCCTCTGGAGCTTCGGTGATGGCCGACGACAGCTTAGACTTGAAGCGATTGAGGAGGGTTAGCGTCTACAAGACAAACAGATCAGACACCATTAGAACATACAGTTAACTGGGACAGACTCTAGTCTGACCGCTCAAATGATTTCTTTTTCAAGAGCGTTTTACCTGTTCTTCTCTGCCTGAGCCTTTCTTAGACTTTTGTTTCTTGAGTTCTTCGTACTTCTTTCTTCCCTCCAGATACTCAGCTACCGCCTCACTGGTTGGTTTTTTATCCACTGGAACAACAAGAGAGACGTCACCACTGATTATTACTGACTTTTTTTTTCTTTATCTCAGCCACAGTTGGCTGTGACAATGTTAAAGCTAAACAAACAAACAAAGAAAATCACCTTATAAACTATTTTTACAGGATATATTCTATAACATAAGCATAACTGTTGAGTATATAAAATCCAGGGCATATCCTTTATGATGACACAGGAACAGAACCTTAGCAACATTTCCTGCCACACAAAATAAATGTCAGCTGTCAAAAAACAGGTCAAACATTATGTACCGGAGTATTTCACTCATGCAAGTTCCATGACAAAAGTTACATTTTTTGTGGAGGAGATGAAGATGTGTTTTTGGCAAAAATACATCTTCCCCAAGTGGAAGATAACTGAAAAAATGAATGGCTTTAGTCCCATGGGGTGTTTGGGTCAGCTCTCGTGTCTTGTGGCTTTTAGGCAGAGAAAACAAATGCTGAGCAATCACTGGAATTACCAACCCTGCCCTGGAAATCTAAGTGCCACACTTTCCCCACTTCACGCGATGTCAACACAAAAATCTGCTCTTCTGCTTGAGGGGCAAACATTTCCTCTTGATTTATGAAGGCAACGAGTGATCTCCCTCCATCTCTCCCCTCGTCAGTCCCCCCTCCTGGAGTCTGTGACCTGCTGTGCTACATGAGGAATACACATCACCTTATTCAGCTGTTGTCACTAACTACTATCTTTGAGCTTGGTGGCCTTTCTAACTACATTCCTCCACTCTCCTGTCACCTCGATTCAAGAGAGCTACAAATCTGCTGATGTTGCAGCAACCGAAGGTTGTTGTGGACGACAAAGAGGTTCCCCATGTCTCCTAAACAATCAGCAGATTTTAAAGGTACGTTAACTAGGATTTCTCACACTGTCTGATAAACCCAGTGACAGTGGGACAGGACATGGTGTCTCCCAGCCACACCCCCCCTCCATGACCCTCTGCTGCCTACAGCCTCCTGTTGTCAAAGTACGGTCTGTAAATCAGCCCCGCCTGCCGCCTAGCCAAGGTTAGAAGAAGGGTTTTTCCAGCCAGTAGTCATGTCAAACTGCCATGGAGGAGCTCTGGGCAGCTAAAAGTCTGAACCAGCAGCTGTCAGAGTGAAGAGGTGGCGTCTTTAGCACAGAGAGAGTGGGACAAAGAAAGAGCAACAACCAGGGTTAACATGGGTTTGGCTGTTTGACATGGAGAGGGTTAAAAGCAGCCAGAGGACTCAGACTGGATCCAGATGTGGCCTTCTTCCTTCTGGATGTGTTAGTATCTAAAGCTAACCTGTTTGTTTTGGTAGCATTAGCCACCTAGCATGGTCAGGATTTTCCCTTTGTGTTGAATTAATATGATTTTAATTTGGGAGGAACTGGAGCTTTGTGTCACATCAGCAGTAACCAGAGCTTCTACTGGACTGACACTAACCTAGCTTCAGATTGGAGGATGCAGTTTGTATAGTTTGTCCCAACCAGGCTTCTGTAGTTTACGCTGTCCCTAGTCATGTTTACTAGTGACAGCGTAAACTACTGAGTCTCACTAGACCCTCTAGGCTGAAAAGACATTAAGCAGAGTAGAGTAGAAAAGTCAAAGCAGCCGCATTACTGCTCATTATCAATCAAAAACACATCAAAATGATCCAACTTAAATTATGCAACCAAGAAGTCTTTTAAAACATGAAAATATTTCACTGTGTGTCCAATGAAAATAACCAACCTGTCAAATGGTATAGTGAGTAGACAAAATAACATGCTAATCTTAATCAGAGATAATTGGTGTTTCACACATCACCGTGCTGCGACACGTCTTCAAAGTCAACAACATGAGTGACAAGGCAGCGCTGTAATAAAACAACCAGAGCTCTCAGACATAACCTGTATATTACCTAAGTGGGATAAAAGCCACATCATTTTGGATGGATACTGAAAGGGCAGTGGTTTCAGATTGGCTCTCTTATTTTTGGCTCTGGGACCCAGTGGTCATGCCAAGAAAGAGAAAACCAGACTACAGGAACATGCTGCAATTTATGTGATGAAAAATGAAGTGATAAAAAAATCAAAAAGGTAAAATGTAAAGAGAGAGTTTGCTTTTCACTTTAATCATGCCAACGCATGGGCCGAGGAATAGGCACTTGCTTGTTAGGTATTTTTAGTCAGATAGATATTGGATAGATACTTTATGTATTAGAAATGTTTAGTGGAGATAGGATGTCTAGTTAGACTGTTAAATGCTTAGTCATGCTTATGAGTTTCTACAGGGTACATCTGGTCAAGGATAACTAGAGAGAAGAGTTGATGCCTGTCAGCAGACAGGGTGGTTAATATTATTATTATGACGTGTATAACTGTAGCCTTAGCCATAATATGTTCTTATGTTTAAGTCACGACATGTTCTAGAGGTCGTGTGAGAATGTTTTTAGTTACTCACCACTTAATCAACAGACACAAACATTAACACATTGATTTGCTTCATGTTTTGACTACTGCTATGACCAGCTGCAAAGCTGGTAACAGAGACGTCTCGGCTGACGTTTCTGTGTAGTATGGGGCTAGTCCAACCGAGGGGATATAATGTATAGGCCTGGTGGGTTCAGGGTCTTTCATCTTACATCTGCCTGCGAGCAGGTTGGAGGTGCAAGATACCTGAGTATGTAATGTTAATTTTTACCTGTGTTCATGGAATAAATCAGCACTGTTTTGAAGTTACTTGGACTGTCTCGTCTCTCAGAGTTAGTAATGGTAACAAGAACCAAAGTCCAACATGCTTCATGCAGAAACCATTTACAAAATATTACAACTGCAGCTAACTACTGTTTTTCTTTAATCAGTTAATCTGGTGATGTTTTTTTAAATATTCAACTAGGTCTTTGGTCTACAATAATAATCAATACAATTTGCTGGAGCCCATACTGATGTTTTCAAATGTCTTGTTTTGTCCGGTCAATAGTTCAAAAGCCACAAATATTCAGTTTGCAATGAGATCAAACTGAGAAAAACAGAAGATCATCAAACTGAGGAGTGTTTCCAAGCAAATGTTTGGCATTTTTGCTTGAAAACGTGATCAAAATGTTAAGCGATTTTCAAAATAGTTACTAAATTATATGTATATAGACTAATTATTTTAGATATACAGTAGATTAATCAACTGCCTTACTATTTAAAGAGGCAGAAGAAGGAAAGAAAGCTGCTTCAAGGCTTCAGACATCCATGAAAAAGGTCTCAACTTACCTTCAGTAACAGCAGTTGTGCCTTAAACTGACTAACAGCAAAAAAGTGGGAGTGTACTGATGTAAGGACTATTAGTAACCACTTCACACTGGCAGTGAAATACCTGGGTCAGTATAATGGAAATGATCTGTATTAAAATGTCAGCAGACAGAATAAAGACAGTGTTTATGTGGAGTAAATCACATGGACTAGAGAGCTTTACTCTGTATTTATGTTTATATACTGTATGAATGTAGTTTAAAACCAGATGCTACTGTACCGGTGTTGTCATCCAGTTATATACAAGTAGAAGTACATCCTTTAATTGAAAGTTTTATTTGAAGGTTAAAGATCTTGTATTAAATATTTTAGAGCTAAAACAATTAGTTGATTTAGTAATTATCAAGGAACATTTCTCTGGTTCCAGCTCCTTAAATGTAAAGATCTGTTTCCTTTTTCTTATGTGATACTCAAATGTAATATATTTGGGGTGTTGGTTACACAAAACATGCAGTTTGGAGATTTTATCTTGGATCCTATTTGTTTGAAAACAGAGAAAATAATGTGCAAATTAACTGGTGATAAAAATCTCTTATTTCAGACTTCTATGTTGTGCAGCACCACTGAAGCTACAGGTCAGAGGTCAGAGCAGAATGGCTTCAGCTTTGCATGATGTAGTGGGATCCTCAATGCAGCTGCACAGCTTCTCCAGTGAGACAAGCCCTCGCCACAGTGTTCTTCTGTGGCCGAGCTGAGTTTCAAGATTTACAGCATCTGAGCAGACATCTGTCTCCCCTGCAGTGACCACTGGCCCATGACATCTAAGATGTCCATCTAATGGAATTAACTTTGGCTTCCAACACAGAAATGTAATGAAGAACTCCTGCCTCTGGCTAGGCTGCCAGAGAAGAACAAAGGTCCCTAGCAGGGTTTAGATACCTCGTAAGATAATGGAGGAGCTTAGGCTAGTTGCCACTTGATATAACAGTGCAGGCTGTTATTGACTCAACACTTGAGTTCATATCTGGAGATGTTTAGAGAGGGCCTCTTTCTGCTTAGGGTGTTTGTAGAAGCAGCTTAAGTCAGACAAACCAACAGAATCAGAGTTAATCTTTGCACAATGTGATGATTGTATCTTGTGCTCTCTCGCCTAAAATCTTGAACCACTCACCATTAAACCATGAGTGGGTTCTGTGTGTCTGTGTTTAAAAACATAAAACCATCAGTGTTTGTGGAGACAAAAACAACATTTGAGCAACAAAAGCCCATCACGGTCTCCAGTAAATTCTGGTTGGTGGTAATCCCACAGTTAGGCTGGTCCCTGCAGAACCCCCCGCAAACTAGTCTGTATTGTTACACAGCGATATGCACTCAACCCCAAGTTAACCCCCGAGCCTAAGTGGTTTTTGTACATTTCAAAAATGCGTTTCAGCACCAGCAAAATCCCCGAGATTGACACCATTATGACAGATTGATATGTGGTGAAGACCCGGGGAGATTTGGGGGCAGATTTTCATGGTATCACATTGGCCAAAGCTGCACACTAACAAACACACTGGGGGCTCTGTGTGCAACTGTGGTGGCCACTCAACAATTTCGACCCAGACAATTTTCTGCAAGAGCTAACACAAAAATGCAAACCCTTGTGTCTGTGGGGGGAGGACGTCTGCAACTAATTGACAAAATCAGAGGCCTGTCTGTCTTAGTGTCTGTTAGCAGAGAATGTAGTGTGGACCACCCTCTTAGACACGCTGGTCATGCCTGGAGCTGTTGTGAAAAGGTGCCTGGTACCTAGTTATCAAACCACAACATTTACAGTATACTGGGCAACAGTAAAACATCATTAAAACAAAGGGGAAGACAAGCTGTTCTCATACCTTCCTTGACTTCATCTACTGCTGACTTTGAACTTTCTTCTTTCCTTTGCTTTATGGCCTGGAGTTCCTTCTTCAGCTGCCGCGCCTCTCTCCGTAATTCATCACTGTGAGGAGAGAAATCAACACAACATATACATATAAACTGTTATAAGCAGTAGCAGACCCAAGTGACTACAGCTTCACAGACAAAAGAGAAATGACAAGACTTTTCATTGGCTCCTGCGTAAGAAAATAAACAAAACACACAGATAACTTTAAAAAGTTTTACATCATGGACAATTATGTGAACACATAAAACAGCAAAACACTCTGTGCAAGAGTCAGAATGAAGAATGTACCTTAAAAGTTTGTCTTACTTCAATAAATTTGATGCACACTTAATAGAATTATTGCTCCTCACTCCCGGCTCCTGAAAGCACTAGAAAGGGGGCGCGGGGGGGAACAGAGTCCACTGAGAAAGATTTCAACGTGTTTCTTGTTCGGAGATGAGCAACTGTCACTGTAGCGGCTTCATCACAGCGGCAGAAAGAGGGAAGTGACTGAAAGAGGCTGTAACTTCTAGCCTCTTCAAACACTGTCAGTCAGTGTTGGGGATGATCAAATCCAAATCAATCCAAAAGTTGGTCACCTCGTACAGATCTGGAATGGTGTAAAACGCAAATGAACCCTAAACTGCACAACTTCACTACAGTGTTAAAATCATATATATCATATATCCAAAGTCTTTTAAGTCAAAGTTGTTTTTGTACTACTTGTATATAATCGACATGTTCCAAGCCCCAAGACAAGACCAGCACATCTCAGATCCTACGTCTTCACCAAAAAGTTGTTTTGAGTTTTTTTCATGAGCCACGTGTCACTGGAATTAAAGTCAAAACAGCCTTTTAAAATGTTTTCATACAGGTCCAGACTAAAGTCATCAGATTCATGAGCCCCAGTCATGTGACTCATGTCCATAAATCTGCATGAACACATGTCTTTGCATGTAAAGCCATGTGAGATTACTGCACATTTTGTGCAGTTAACTATATAAATGTCTTGTGGTACATAAAACTCACATCTGATTAATGCACTTAGTGGCAGAAGTAATGAAAACCGTTACAGTTCCTTTCCTCATGTGTCACTACCTTAAATATTACAGACATGGCTCACGTCCAGTTGCCCTCATAAAACCTTTAGCTGGATGACAGAAGCTGAGGCATTTCCACTTCAGGGTTTCAAGGTAGTGTCCCTTTTGGCAGACGACCTGAAAATCATACTGCCTGACAGCTCTGATTTTGTCCCATTGTGTTGCTGAGCCACAAAGCACAGGTAAGCTGCACAGTCCGAGCCCCTGGCCTACAAACGTGAGACCAAACAATGGCTGCCTTTGTTTCTACCATCTGTTTCTATGGAGTGACATTCATTTATATCCTACTTGCTCCTTTTATCTGGAATGTTCAATCTTCTGTTTGTAGTTTTCCAACACTCACATTACATTAGTTTAATTCTTGAACACTGTCTGGAGCAAAGCACTGAAGTGATATTTTAAGTGCAAGTGCGTTGGCAAATATTAACAGCTGTGGCTGACTTGATGTCATGTCTCCTCTTCGTTAGCTTCCCTGCTGCTCCTGAGGACACACATCAGGAATCAGTCAGACATACAGTTGTTAGTCCTCTCATTTCCTGATGGAAAAATGCTGCAGCTGAATCCAGACTGAGCTGCCAGGATAGCAGTGGCTGGCAGAGACAGACGTGGCCTGCGTGAGGAAGTCGCCTGCTCAGCTCTGTCTCGAAGCAATGGCAACAAACCTGTCATTTTCAGTTTCACATGACTGAAGAGGTAAAACCTGGTCAAACCCAAGACAGAACACTGACATCCATTAACCTAAACACAGCCATTTTATCCTCCGTTTTAAAATATGATTACTGTTGTAGATGGGCAAAATAACACATCTGATAGTCATTGTTGGTCAACATTTTAAGACCGTTACTTTTTGCTAGTGCATTTATACTCCCTTTGAAATAGTCATCATAATTTGTGAGACCGTTTGGAGAACATATTAGTCTTGTGAGCAGCCACCCTTGTGTGCTCCAAGGCCTGTTTTACCTAATTTAATTAATTTCCTCAGTTTTACAGTATAATTGCACATTGAATATCTTTGAGTTCTGAGATTTGTTGTTGCTAAACATCTGCACATAAGAATTGCCAGGAGTAAGTCTGTGCCACAAATGCCATGACTGGATATTTCCATGATTTTTCATTGTATCGTGCATGAACATGAAACATGTTTGTTTTTGTGTCCATGTATCCATGTAAAAATTAAAAAACTATATTTACAATTAAGTTTAATGTACAGATTAGCCCTTTAAACTGTTATTTTTAGCTGCCATCTGATGTGACAGTGACTTCCTGTTCACACCGTTAAGCTGATTAGGAGTCGTCTGAAACTAATAGTTACTAAAAACATAAGGAGGACTAAAGGTAGATGCACACAGACTTCTCATTCGTCTGAATGGAGGGAGTGCATTTATACAGCGGAGATCAGCAGCGAGGGGGGCCTCCGCTACAACAGGGTAGCATCATGCAGAAAAAAGGTGGGTTCGACCTTTTCTGCAAAGCAATGTGGTGTCATCTGGCACAGCACTGGCCAGTTGTAGAAACTGCCTGACCCATTTCTCCAAAAGCCAGAGAGAAGAAGAAGAAGACAATTATCTAAGAATGTAATTATGTAAGAATGTTAACACTCTGTTATAAATTTTTTTAGTATATTACTTGTGTGGTGTAGAAGAGAATCATTTACTGCTTGCAAACCAATGATGGTAAGATGATGTCATGGGGTAGGACTGGATAAGTCTGACTTCTTCCTACTCCATTCAAGCATGTACTAGGTATAAGCACATTGATATTGGATTAGCATTTGTTGGATATGTGTAAAATTATGTGTGTTGATATATCAACTGTCTTTACATGCTTGAAAGAATCAAATCAAATCAAATCAAATCTAATCAAAGATCCTTCCATCCACCCAAGGATACTGCTGCTGGCCATTTAAAAAACATGAGGAGGTGGAGAAAAGTCCCTCTGCTGTTGTCATTAGTTGCCAGATGAAGAAACTGAACTGAATCCTTTTTGTGACTCCTTGTCAGTCCCTGTGGCCTGGGTCTACTTTTCCTCTTTCAGAAAATTAACAAAGCGAAACCCAGAGAATTGTGGATAATTAGTGTGTCATAACAAAAGCATATGAAGAGACTGGCAGTAAACCAAGAACTCTCTCATGATACAGAACCTTGCATTTGATAGCCCGGTGTCTGGCAGGAGTCTGGGACTGACACGGGAACACAACAGCCTTAAAAATAGAACAGTGATGACTGCATGGCTCATCACAAATTCAGTCATGCTCCGAAAAATGTACAAGTAGGGGCCCTAGCCTTTTTTGGATTTCTGTGTATCCTCATATTCCAGCCTTCAAATGACTGTAAGTAATGTTAAATAGAACCACTGAGTGACTGCAACGAGTAAAATCTATATTTAAAATAAAAAAATGATCACCTTATTACACCAAAAGGATGAAGCCGAATCTTCTCCCTGCTACACTGGACACCAAACACGTCAAACAACCGAGCAAATGATGTGGATGAATGTGCTAGAATAACAAGATGGCTGGATGAACTCCCCTCAGGGGGCACTCCATGGCTTGGTCAAAAGCCAAGGAGAACTGTGAGAAGGAATCCAACCTCAACACAGGAATTTGCATGACTTTGGAGAGTGAACTAGACCAATGCATTACCCAGGCAGCGGAACAAGGTTGCTCCTTTAAAGTGGTTCATCTGTTTTTGACCAGATCCTGTTGATTACTCAAGATGGAAAAAAGTAATGAATCTAGCAGAATGCACAGTGGATCTCCCGAGATTTATATCACTTATTTTTTGTTGTGAATTTTCTGTTCCTTGTCAATATTTAGCTTGTTTGAGAGTGAAAGACACAGTCAAGGTGCACACTGTCAAACGCTGACTTTAATCAAAGCTGAAGTGGCGCTCTACTGGTTTTTATGCGTTTTCAAAACCCCCTCGTCCGAGACATGCGCTGCTGTCTGGAAGTCTTTCCAGCGAGCATGTGCCCCGTATGGTGCAGACATGATACAATGGCCCAGAGATGTGTAAACCTGGCAGTTCCAAAACATACACAGTCGCGCTGCCAAGAACTGGATTCTCTCAAGCAGTTTTCTGCACAAACGCGGCACCGAATGCTTTCTGGATCTGTGTGACCCTTCCCGAGAACGTGCTGGGTTATGACCGATGACGAGAGACAGGTGCAGCCAATTAATACACAGTGACACCTCGGGTGCGGCTGCTCGGTCAGGATAGATAGCGTCTGATGTCTCACTCAAGTGGCACTGTCCACAAAGCTAAAAGTGCTTCCTTCAAGTGCTGTGCATGTGTCAAAGGTGGACAGGGAAATGTAGTAAATCTGGCAGAAGATTCCAGTCGGCTGTGTCCGACAGCCATATGGAAGCATTTTGCCTCCCCTGTAATGCCCCGTCGGGTTTAACAAAAGTGGCGACGACCACATACACTGTTTTCGGTACTTCATTCAGGACTGTCTTTTATAAAGAGGCCTACTTCAAACACAGACATGACACCAGACTTGATCAATAGTAACATAAAAGAAGCATCAAACCGAGAACAGAAGCCAGATTTAGCAACAACATCGAACACAGTACGTTCACACAAACTCAGCATGAACAGGATCTGTTCTGACTGACTGCAACTGTCTTAAAATTTTCTTGGTCCATTATTTGGCAACTTGGTCCTGAATGTGAACAAACCCAAGCATTTTACAATCATGGAATATCACAGTGGAATATCAGCTGGATAGCAACATAAGACTGCAAAAGTATTTTGGTTTCCGGGAGGCTTCTCATTTCAAGGTAGCCGCAGCAGCCTTGACTTGTTGTTCCCCTGACTGAGGCCTTACTTCACTGCGCACTGTCCTTCACACACATCGCTCATAGAACACCAGTGGTGGAAGAAGTACTCAGATCCCTTACTTCAGTAAAAGTAGCAATACTACAGTGTAAAAGTACTCTTTTGCAAGTAAAAGTCCAGCATTCAAAATGTTACTCAAGTAAAAGTACAAAGTTTTAGCATCAAACATACATAAAGTACTAAAAGTACTCATTATGCAGACTGGCACATTTAACATTAACGTATATCATATTATAGGATCGTAATTACTGAAGCATTATCATGTCCATCACATTTAATGTCGCAGCTCATAAAAGGGGGGGAAGCTAGTTTTACGCAATTTATATGCTTATAATGTGAAGTACTTTAAATACTGCTGGGTAGCTTGTGAATTTTCCATCTGAGAGCAATAAAGTTATGATTCTACAATAAAATTTGTATTAATCTGGTTTTGAAAAGTAAATAAATGTATAAAGATAAATGTAGTGAAGTATAAAGTACATTATTTGCCTCTAAAATGTAGTGAAGTATGAAGCAGCACAAAATGAAAATACTGAAGTACAGATACCTCAAAAGGTACAGGAGTAAATGTACTTAGTTACTTTCCACCACTGGTTAAGATGGATTAAAGACCAAACAAAACTGAGAAAAGTGTCAGCTTCTACTATGCTGTCTCATTTTCTCCCAGGTGACTGGGTACCAGTTAATGTGCCTGTTTTTGTGCACAGACGAACCGAGAGCCCCAAGCAAAGCCGTGGTGGGAAAGCAGCGCTCACCCTGCAACAATGCCCCCATTGTCTCGGACTAACACTGTACCTACCGGTCTGCTCTTTGATCCATTGCCAAGACAAACCACTGTGCTGGGTTCTTGTAGCAAAACAATCTGTGCTTGTGTTTAATATACTACAGTCGGCGTGCATTGGGCTGGCTGTCAGTCAGGCTGCACAAACACAACTCACAGGCTCCTTATCCCATTAGCACTAATGAGAGAAGGGTATGTTGATTAGTGTGTTGAAGGCTACCTTGTTAAGTGGATATGTAGGAGAGAAAACTGGCCGGCCTGCGGAATCAAAGCCAGATGACGCATAAATCACTCGTCCATTCTCCCCAGGTCATTTTCATGCTAATGTTGTCTCACCTTGTTGGCTCACACAGAAGCAGTGTTTGCTTCCACTTCAGTGCAGAAAGTAAGTGAAGTAATTTGCATTGAGGGCCAAAATTGCTGTTTCAAAGAGCACCCCCACTGGTGTTGGTCCTGTGAGTCACAACTGAGTGTTTGGGGGTTGTGTGTGCATGTGTGAAATCACAGCTGGAGAACATGTGATGACAACAGTTTGGTTTCCATTCACCTGTTTCACGCACCTTTTCAATTCATGCATAAAATAAATAGCGTGTGAAAAACTGGAAATTTGAACAAAATCTCAAAATATGGCAAAATGTTTGATTGGTTGAAGTGAAAAAAGTTGGTGTATCGATAAAAGCAAATCATGACAAGAGGGAGATTCATGATGCAAATACAGCATGTGGCCTAAATGTCCACTGAACAGATCCAGTCAGAGCAATGCAGCTGTCCTCAAATGAACACATGAAACAAGCATCAGTGTCATTTTTCCATCATGTCAAGTTTTACAGCGCTCTTTAAATGACATCGTCTGGTTACACCCTCTTCTTCTGCAGTATTTTAATTGCATCAGACTGAACATTTTGTGCCACCAGCTGTTTATCTTGATGAGAGGCTGCTAACACAAAACAGCAGTGGATGAAAACACACATCAAGTTGCATTTCATTTGTCCGATTTTCTCAAAATTCACTTCAAATTGGTGATCTGTTGAAAATCTGCCCAGCGAGACTAGACTGACACTAGGAAACAAACCAGCACCATGTGATCATAATCTCTGACCATCAATACTTCTATTATTAAAAGCTGTACAACATAAAAGATCTGTGTGATTTAACATTCTACCTATTTTACAGCTGAAGTTTACTCATCATGCAAAGCTACTCCGCCTGCAACGACAGTTGTTTAATATCTCCTGTAACTTTGGAGGAAAATACTCCTGATAATGTCACAGTCATCTCAGCGAGTTATCTCTGTGTGGGCCTGAGTCTTAGCATTTTTAACAGACAGCCAGTGTAATACAAAGCAGGTGTGGGGATCGAAAGGAAGTTACGAGTCTAATGAAAGACGCAAATGAGTTGCACAATAAAAACTGTGTGTGTGTGTGTAGCTAGGGAGACTTCTTACTGACATTATTAATAAGTCTGACAAAGAATTACAGTATTTCCACTGAAAATCATCCTTTGTCCCTAATGAGCTCAGTTTCCCGGTGTGTAGCCGGCCAGCTTGTGTCTGACCATCTAAATTTTACAATTTATAAACAAACAAACTGGCCCGATAATCCAACCACGACCTCATTAAAGACACCAGCAGACGAAACCCAACTGTTATGGAGGGATTTGCCGTTGCAGAGGCAGTTATTAATAGTGTTACTCGCTGCTTTTCGAGTGTCTAGGCCCTTGGGGTGTCTAAATATTTCTACTCATTGCTTCTGCAGCTGATACTGAAATATTAAGACTAGTTAAACGCAGAGCTCAAACAACTAGTCCATAAACTAGTCCAACTAGTTCACGTTTTCATATGTGAGGATTTTCAACTTTTGAAATATATGAAATTAAATCAAATATTTTGTTGTTGTGAACTGGTGCTCACTGGTCAGACAGGGAACACTGAGGAACACTCTTTTTTAAACCGTTTCTCTACATTTCACAGAAATAAAAAAATGACTAGCAGATTAATCAGCCAATGAAAATAATTAACTCAGTGTTGTAAATAAAAATATAGATAAAAAGCTCATGTTATCTCTCTGTGGATTTACCAAACGCTCTGCTTGTCAGACAAATAAAGTTCAGATGATCTGTTCTCATATAATTATGTTAACTCATAACATATTGCAACAGCTCCCCCACCAGGCCATCACGCTGTATTACAAGTGAAATACCAACTTCATGATATAGGAGTTGTCAGTGACTGAAGCGATGACCAGGTAGACTATGTATCAGACAAACCTGCCACCTGCTGGATGTAGATAACCATTTGAACTATTTGAACTGAGAACCATGGGAGACAAACATGCAGTCGTACCTGCGGCTGCTTTTCTTCCCTCGCTCTTCCTCGCTGGGTTCTGTCGTTTTCTCCACACCTTTTTCTTTCTTCAACTTCTTAATGATAAGATCTCTCATCTTCTCTTTCTCATCTGAATCGCACTCTTCATCTGTATCCATGTCATCTTCCACATCATCATCGGCCTCTTCATCTGTCTGGGAGAACACAATGGAACTTACAATCCGAGAAAAACGACTCTGGGAACCTTTTTGGGAACAAAAGCAATGGCGTTTACCTCAGCTGCATCTCCTGATGCCCCTTTGTTTCTCTTCCTTTTAAAGTAGAATTAATACAGTTTAATGTTTAAAAAGGAAACTCAAAGCTATTGTAATTATTAATTAACTAGTTGTTGGCACATACTTATCAACCGCAGGAACAGAGCTCAGCCTGGGATCATCTTTCAGAAGGTCATGGCTGCTTTTGCTTTTTCCCTTTAGTGTCTGAGGAAGCAGAAACAATCGAGTTTGTTTTTTCCCCCCACATTTTATAACATTGTTCAATTTTAATATAACCTCAATTTCTGATCATTTCCTTTCATTTTAATAGAAAATCATAAAATCAACAATGGTGCAAATATCTTATATTATCCATTTACATTTTCAATGGCCAGTTACCACCAAACACACCAAATGTCGACTCTGAAAGATTGTGCTAAACACTCTACTTAGTTAGAACCATTACATGTAGTAAACACAACCTTATACACATTCCTCTCACAGTAGGAAAGAGATTAACCGGTTTATAGGTGGTGCTCATCGCCATCATGAGCCAAAAACAGCAGTGAAAAGTGAAAACTGAGGCCGAACTAACCTTTACAATGACTGACTTCCTTCAGTAAGCGAATTACTTACTCAATCCCTGTTGCTATGATGTGTGGCTGACTGGGCCAGCGTTAGGTGGTTTTAATGGTCTGTCTGGCAGAGACTAGTTTTGTAAGTCAGTACCTGGCTGACTTGATTCACCATCTCCTCATCTTCTTCAGCTTCCTCCCCAAACGATAACAGGCTGAAGTTCCTACAAAAAATTATAAAACTGTTGGCACTAGAGCACCAATAAGGAAAATACTCAAACATTTAAATGACCAGGAACAATAATCCAGAAAGACTCCAGAAGACTTGTATTAGAAACAGAAGCAAAAGAAACGAGAATAGAAGAGAATAATTAAGGCCACAACATTTTTATACTTAGGTCTCACATTTATTTTAGGTTGTCGCAGTCACCAACCATGTGTTGCATGAATCAGTATCTGGGATTAACTTTTATGGAGGTCAGCCCAAAAAATGCCTACACCCATTTTCACACGAATCAAAAGAAGAACCTTAGATGATCAATCAAAGTTATTTTAATCCCATATTATCAGATAGTGATGGACATTTATTACTGACACCAGACAAAATTAGTGGTGTAGCGGACTGAAGTTGATCTGTGATCCAGAATCCCCCCACGGTTCAGTATGCAAATTAATTGCAACGTTTAACCATCAAAGTGTCAAATACAGTTTTACTGCTGCTGTTACCTTTTAAAGTAATAATTCCCTAAATTTTGATGTAAAGTTGCAGTGAACAGATGCAGACTGAGCAGTCATGTGTTCACTGCAACGTTAATGACAACACGTTGGCGAGCTTTAATTCAACTCAGTGTCATTTGTATAGCACCAAATCACAACAAAAGTCGTCTCAAGACGCTTTACAAAGTAGACTCATCGTCATCGTCATAAACATACCAGTCACACTTCCATTACAATTAGGCTCACAAACTCCTTGGTCAGGTTAGTTTAACAATTGAGCATTGAATTTTTTATTGAAAATTTGATCTTATAAAAAAAATGTTTATTTTATTTTCTGATCAAAAAAATGGATCCGATCCATGACTCAAAATCCGTGACACAAACTGAACCGAGAGTTTTCTGATCTGTTGTACCCCAAGACAAAATGAACAGTTTTATTCTTTTAGAGTGCATGTGGCTGCCAAGGCTGGTTGGATATGAGACAGAGGGAGCACAAAAATGGGGAGAATCAAACAGCCAATGGGTTCCAGCAGCACAAAGTACAAAGATCTTGTTAGGATTAGGACAGATCAACTCTGAGCACTCACTTTGTGGCTTTTGACTGCGATTTCTTTCTCTCCTCCTTGTCTTTTTCCTTTTTGCCTTTCTTTATCTCACGAGGTATGACGTCATCAAAAGGACAGTGAAGCACCTGGAAGAGGCAAAAAGGTTTTTACGTCAGCGTTTACAACAGAGACACTAATAATCAAAAAGATTTCTGAAGAACTAGAAGAAGAGGAGCAAGAAAATACCTCAGCTGTTTTTATCTTGTGGGGATTCAGAGGCCTTTCATCATTGTCACATGCAACATCTGCTAGTCTCAGCATGTTATAAACAGTGTCTCCTGTGACCTGCATTCAGGATTGATAAAAACAGTGACAGTCAGTCATTTGTAATAACCATACAAACCATTTCAGTGCAAGGACATTTGCCTGGGGACAGACTTTACACATAAATCGGTATGCTTCAGATTTACCTTGCCGAATATGGTGTGTTTATTGTTGAGCTCATCTGCACGTGCCAGGGTGAAGAAAAACTGACTGCCATTATCATGTGGTCCAGCATTTGCCATGGCAACCAACCCTCTTCGGTTGAAGCGCAATCTGGAGTGAAATTCATCCTGAAAGTTTGAAAAAAGACAGATATTCCACTGCACGTTTCCAAAAAAGCAGATTTTAACATCAGACATTTTCTCATGATTGAACATAGGGATTCGTGTGTTAATATGTCCTAATAATGAGTCACACTCATGCTTCTGTTAGTGTGAACATTTATCATATAGAATTTAAAAACAAAAGGTGAAGCAGTTTGACCTTGAATGGCCGGCCATAGATGGACTCTCCACCTTCCCCTGTTCCAGCGGGATCTCCGCCTTGAACTATGAACTCGGGCACCACTCTGTGGAATATTGTGCCATCATAGTACCCTAGAAGACAGGGAAATATAAAAGGTATCACTTTATTTTACATATTTTATATGATGTAGCTGCAACAACTGGTCTTTCTGCAGTGTGGCTGAGAAGTGCAGTGCTTTGTTTTTCTTTTTACCTTCCATGGACAGCTGTACAAAGTTCCTGCATGCTTTAGGGGCCTCCTTGGACCACAACTCAATGTCAATGTCCCCTGCTGTGGTCTTCAACAGGACCTAACAAAAGATAATAAAAATAAATCAGGCATTTACATAAGAAAGCATTATTATTATAATGGCAAATTTGTGTAGTATTTTCTAGGCATTACAGCACATTACAGCACACCCAGAGCGCTTTAATACTATCTGACTATTCACACACACCAGTGACATCACTGGGAGGAAATGGGAGGTCAGTGTTTTGCGGACTGAAGAAGCCTAGAGTCGAATTGTCAACCTTCTGATTAGGAGACGACCCGCTCTACTTCCTGAGCCACAGCTGCCCCCAAATACGCAACTTTTAGACATGTGCAAATAAGTACATTGCTTCATTTTAATCGTGTTCAGCGATGCATAGCAACGTAGCCAAACGTCCTGGACTTTATAAGTCCTAAAGGCAAAGTATACATTAAAGGCTTTTGTTGGAAAAGCACACAAAACGATTATGTAGGGGAAAATTGCAAAAAAAAAAAAAAAAAAAGTCGCGCTCACCTTTCCGTTTGTTGGTGGCTCTTGAATGTAAATATTGCTCATTTTGCTGCTGGCTTTGTGGTTTTTGTTAACACTAGAAAACTGATATTTCTAGATTGTGTGACACTTAAACTCTTCGACCACACAGACAATAGAAAGTTAATGTTTGCTATTTTACTTTACAAGTAAAAAAAAATCATACTTTTCTGTCAACAGCCATATTGGCTAAACATGTGAGCTTATTGTTTACCTCTGAGTACGCGGGGGAGTTCTCAATAAAAAATGCTTATTTTTTTATTTATACAACAATAGAAAACTCGAACGGTTAGTTAGGTTTCAAAAGACATATAGTAAATAGCTTATCGGCATGAATACAAACCTGCAAGTGTATTGCAGGTGACAGACCAATATCAAATATATTGTTTAATTCCCCCCTTACGTTGAAGTTTGGTTGGACCCAAGTGTTTCATGGCAATAGACCCCCGGAAACAGCATAGCACTGTCGTTCCACTACAACTAACTACACTGTGTGTCGACCGATTAAAAATTATATTTTTATAAGTCCGTGTTGTTGACTTTGTCTTTATAGCGAGTACACAGTCCATTTTTTTAAATTTCAAAGTTTTAACAAACTCTTGTCCGCTTTTATTTGTAATAGTATATAAAGCAGTAAACAAGTTCGAAAAATACATCATAAGTAACTTCTTGACTGTAAGAAATGTATATGCTCTGAAATTGAACCCTATACTTAAAGTCTCAACAAATGAGACGGCAGCGGGGGCGGGGTCGTGAGAAGAGCATAAGAGCAGAGAAAGACGGCGGTAGTGTGAAAAGGAAATTGTGTTTGCGTTTCAACTGTGTTTTAATCCATTGTTGATACTAGCCTCACGATCCCGACTCCTTACCAGTTGGTGGCGGTAATGCACTAATTCGTTTGCCAACCGCTAATAAGCCGCAGAAGAAGAATAGGAGGAAAAGGAAGAATGGCGGCTTCTGAAAACAATGTGGAGTTAAAGCGAAAAGCAGATGACGATCGGGATGAAGATGGGACTAAAGAAGATGAGGAATGGGTCGGTCCAATGCCAAGCGAAGCCACAAAGCCCAAGAAAAGGAAAGGTTGGTTGCTAGTCAAATCCTTCGCCGCATTTTTGTCCATATACGAGTCCTGCTACTCGATGCTAGTCAGAGTTAACCAAACTCCCTCCAACTCTTGGATGTTTTTGTTTTGTTTTCCTCAGTACTCGAATTTGAGCGCGTATATCTGGACAACCTCCCTTCAGCTGCGATGTATGAACGGAGCTACATGCACAGAGACGTTATCACACACATAGTTTGCTCCAAGTAAGTGTTAATTCACCGTTTTAATCAGTGGTGGAAGAAATATTTAGACCCTTTGAGTGAAGTAGAAATTCAACAGTCTACAATATTAAATTACAGCTTACAGCCCTACATTCAAAATGCATTTCATTTATTACATAGAAGAACCCTTTGAATGTTGTATTTTTAACAATACACTGTTTTATTGTATATTATTTCTTAATGTTGGCAGGGGAGTTGACAAATAATTGTAATCAAGTTTCATAGTTTCCTGTAGCCCTACCAGGTTATACTGGATATCACATTGAATAAAAGGTTATCTGTTAGTATCTATTATTAGTGTTAATCCACTGATACTTAATGTTAAGAGCCTGTAAACCTCAAGCGTATTCACATCCTAAAAGGAGTTAATAATCAGAATGTCCTCAGTGACACATTTATACAGGGAGAGGAGAAGTTTTATTTATGTAGCCTAAGACCCCAGATTTGCATCGAAGGGCTTTAAGTTTCTTTGGCTCTGACCAGAGTAAATTTCCTCTTTTTTCAGGACAGACTTCATTATCACAGCCAGCCAGGATGGCCATGTCAAGTTTTGGAAGAAGAAGGAGGACGAGGGAATAGAGTTTGTCAAACACTTTCGGAGTCACCTTGGTACAAAACAAACTGAATTTATCACAACCTCTTCTCAACCGTCTGCATGACAAAGGGAGAAGAGAACAGACATGCTGACTACCTTGCATGTAGTTTTAGTATATGCTAATTGCACCGTGTACTCCAGTACAACATGTATTGTACGGTATGATGAGTGTGCTCTTGCTTTTCCTGCAGGTGTGATAGAAAGCATTGCTGTCAGTGCTGAAGGGGCCCTTTTGTGTTCTGTTGGTGATGATCAGGCCATGAAGGTTTTTGATGTTGTCAACTTTGATATGATCAATATGCTGAAGTTGGGGTGAGTCTGAAAGACAGTTTTGTACCATGTACAGCTAAAGGCCAAAAACCTCATTTCCACTGTGACATGATTTATTTTTTTTTTTACTTTTCTTTGTGTAGCTTCCAACCAGGCCAGTGTGAGTGGGTCTACAATCCTGGGGATGCTATTTCCACAGTGGCCTGCTCAGAGAAATCCTCAGGGAAGATCTTTGTTTATGATGGAAGGGGAAAGAACGAACCGCTCCATGTTTTCGAGAAGATGCACTCCTCTCCACTGTCCCAAATCCGCCTGAATCCCAAATTTAGAGTTACAAATGAATTCAAGTTCCCCAGACATGTGCACTGGGAATACAAAACAGATACAGACTTGTATGAATTTGCCAAACACAAAACCTACCCCACCAGTCTTGCGTTTTCTCCTGATGGGAGGAAAATGGCCACCATCGCTTCTGACAGGAAAGTCAGGATCTTCCGTTTCCTAACAGGGAAACTGATGAGAGTTTTTGATGAATCATTAACGGTAGGTTCTCAGTCATTTTTCATCCTGGAGCTTTACTAATGTGGCTCTTTCACATGCATGTCACAGCCTTTTGTGTTAGATGTTCACAGAGCTGCAGCAGATGAGGCAGCAGCTGCCCGACATGGAGTTTGGGAGGCGAATGGCTGTGGAGAGAGAACTGGAGAAGGCAGACGGTATCCGACTGACAAATATCATCTTTGATGAGACCGGCCACTTTGTGCTCTATGGGACCATGCTGGGCATCAAGGTCATCAATGTGGAAACCAACAGGTACAAGCTCTCCCGGGAAGTATGTGAAATAGCACCTCTGCTGCCTTTCTCCAAAGGTTAATATTTGATTTCACTGAAGTGTATTAATTTTTTATTGTATTAGATGAGGTGGTCTTTGTTTTAGGTGAGATAGACAACCTCCACTAGAAAATGTGGAAGCAAACCCTGTGACTTTTAGAGGAGAATGTCAGTGTATTAGCAGAATAGATAATAATGTAGATGTAAATTAAACATTAGACGGGGTCAAAGCAGGACACCAAACTTATACATCTAAGTATAATCAAGTAAAACACTTTTTGTAAGAACATCAATATAGTTTCTATTAATAAAAATATGATTTTAAATCCTGTTGAAGACACTACATGCTTGGAAAAAATATACATACTGCAAATCTTACTCACTTGAATACAGTAATCTTAACACAAGCATCGATCCAATGATCTCTAACCCGGTATGCTTCACTTGTCCCACACACCACTGATGGGTGATTGATTGAAGTATCAATTAGTTGATCAAGTCTTGAAGTTTTTTTTCCACCAGCTTGGTGTAAAACATCTAGTCGAGGTCAAATATACAGCGCATTTGTCTGGATCTTGTTCCCCAGATGTGTGCGGATCCTCGGGAAGCTGGAGAACATTCGTGTGGTCCAGCTGAGTCTCTTCCAGGGGGTTGCGAAGGCCATGATTGCGGCACCTACTGTAGAGTTGACGGCATCCGACAACCCTGCCTTAAAGAACATAGAGCCTGACCCCATCATTTTCTGCACTGCGTTTAAGAAGAACCGCTTCTACATGGTGAGATCCGGGTCAAGATGATCAAGCTACATTTCTCTAATAGAATCCGTGTTAAACCATTTTTGCTATGCTTAAGTTCTCAAAGCGAGAACCAGAGGACACCAAGAGTGCAGACTCGGACAGAGACATCTTCAACGAGAAGCCTTCAAAGGAGGAGGTGATGGCTGCCACACAGGCCGAGGGCCCCAAGAGAGTGTCAGACAGCGCCATCATTCACACCACCATGGGAGATATCCACATCAAGCTCTTCCCTGTGGAGTAGGTTTCTGAGAACACTGTGGTTCTGCTCGGAAGTCCGTTACACTCCACTAGATCTAAACAGAGCTTTGATCTTTTGTTTTCAGATGCCCCAAAACTGTGGAGAACTTCT